CTCCTCTCAAATTATGTGATACCTGCAAATAAGCTCCATATCTTTTTGTTTTTCCGGAACAAATAAAATTGGGTAACCTCTTTTGTGTTAGCATACAATTATCCACTGAATCCTTTTTCAGCTATTAAACAGAAGTGAATCCCTCGTTCATTGAATTCTTCAATTTGATGTGGTGCGCAAAGACTGCTGTATGCTTTAGTTGAAACGGTTATTAATTTTTCGAAATACACTTATCTATATGACACCACCTTATAAGGAACATCCGGTCGCTCTGGAGGGCAGCCAAACCACGTCTAGAATGTGCTATGTCGTATGATATGCATAGCTTCCCAATCCATGACCTATGAGGGTCCAAACGGATCTGCACCTCATCATCTTACCAAACTACGGGGTGATATAATTAGTCCTTTTGGGGAGTCTTAGAAAAAAAGCATTGATCTGACCTTCCGGCTTTCCCTGGGTGGCAGATGCCGGCGACACATGATTTGTCCTACTTACGGTTCACTTCATACTACTGGATGGGTGTGAGTAGTGAATATTAAAAATAAGAATTAGGAGCAGTGCCCCCAAACAGCTGCGTAAGTTTTGCTTGTTGAGGCTCACTAACGGGTGAAATCCGCACAACAGTAGATAATACATGATAAATGTTGGCAACGCATTTACCTGCTAACAATATCCAGTAAATTATGGCTGGCCAGAAACGTGCACCTTGTAAGCTTATGGTCTACACCGATGTCAATCATGCAGTCCATCAGTACGCCTTTTGCTACCTAACGTGGACAGAATCGAGATCCGTGGTCATTTTGATAGCACAACTGCTCTGTCAGCCGCTGGCACACCAGGCCTCTAATTGAAATAACGATGAATGCTTATCCATATCAAAGTGTTTTCAATTGTTTAGGAGGAAATTCAAAGTCTGTAAACCTATGGCCATCATGATTACCAATCGTCGAATATGCTGCAGTCCTTTCCGCAAGCATTGTCTTCGGGTATCGCTCTTTCAAGCTCCTGATGGCTAGTTCTCAGCCCCTCAACAGAGTAGGGATTCATAGTGATCTATTTTTTCCGCAAAAAGCGTCATGAAAGCTGTCAAACAGAGTTAATCGGGAAGCGACAATTCACCTGTTCTTCTAAAGTGGAAACAAGGACGCGAGTCAAACTACTGAACCAAAATTCAAACCATAGTGTGCATGATAAGTTCACTTGGCTTGTACAAGTATGTACGTGCTTTGATCGATTCTTAGTGTGAATGGTGCTCAACGTATTACGCTGAAATTTTGAATCACCATGCAGTTGGACTGCGACTTGCCTGACATCTCCTGGATTTTTCAGTTTTCGTGTGGTAAATCGGTATCATTTATTTTCGGAAAAAGTTGGAATCGTCCCAGAAACCAATTTAAACATTCAATATATATATATATATATCCCGGTGTTTCATCCATTTGAAACATCATTTATTTTCGGAAAAAGTTGGAATCGTCCCAGAAACCAATTTAAACATTCAATATATATATATATATATCCCGGTGTTTCATCACATTTGAAACTCGGGTGACCTAAAGTATGGAAACTCTTAATAAGTGAATGGGAAATATCCATCTGTCGTAACAAAGAGTTGTTGGTAGTGTGAGAAGATTAAGGAATTCCCACTTAGGATGCGTCCCGTATCCTGAAAGGGGATCATAACTCCCTGCAATCTTGTGAGGTGCTAACAGCTGTGCAGTCCTTCTAGGTTTGTCAGCATAGATTGGCTGCACCCACAGGAAGAACTCCCCGTGGAAAATTCCAGTCTCTTCACAGAATCAATACGTGATGTGGACCCTGTGACTGAGAGGAAAGTAGTGCTATATCCTGTCTGGGTGCCAAAACGGCTAATTTGTCAAACCACAAGCTTAGCGAATCACTAGTAACTGATAGCATTATGATTAACTTGTAGTTAGATTAAATATAGCGTCAACAACCTACAACTACTTATTTCGTGCCATGAATTCCGCTTTGACTGAGTTCATGCGGACAACTTCTTGGAATGGACATCCATGCAGACCATGAAATTCTTCATCTTATTAGCAGATCACTTGTGGCCTGTAAGTTGTAAGGTGATTCCTAACGCAATGTGGTACTCTTGAATCTCCGGGATCCTCATGGAGTGTTTAACATCTGGCAAGCCGGGCATCTGGGTTTGGTGGTATCAGATACGACGGAATCACCAACCACACCGTTTTTACCTAGCTCATGCTTCCTTAATATTTCAGTGAAAATTCAAAATCAGAAAATATCTCTGCTACTTCTGGCAATGATCAAGGGAGTCTACTAGCTGAGTTATTCTTCCTTATCTTGTAACCATGCCACGAATCCTCGAGGAGCAACCAGAAGGTGTATCTAGCCCCTCAATGTCCTCAGTCTCTGGAAGGAAGAAAAGTCTATTGAATTTTCCTTCCTAGAATCAAATTGTTCTGACATCGATACTCAAACCGCAGGCTTTTAGTCTTATCAGCTGACGCTCTAACGGAGAGTACGTAGGATATTGAGGACGATGATTTATTCAATACCTTCCAAGCCAAACAGCAAAATCGGACATTTCACCTCCGGTTGAAGAGTTGAACGCCGAATTCCCTCAAAGGATGACTTGATGAATTGCTCAGTGTCTTCACAAGAAACATATGCGGGGATGATGAATCGCTCCACCTGCATGCTTCTCAGTGTCTAATTACCCAGCATGATGTTGCAATATCAAAGATACCATTGTGCCACCTGGAGCTTACCTGGTCCGGACCAACTGTGGACACACGTAGATCATGTGGCATTTGGGTACAGATGGAAAAGCAGTATGGAGAATATTCGCTTGTTTTAAAAAAATGATCTGGATTCAGGTTACTTTGTTCTTTGTGCTTGCTCCCAACAATTCTTTGTCCACAGAAGGTCAACGCACGATCACTGCAAGTCCACTGTACACTCAAAAATCAAAACCCATCAAGAACGGCCGGTTTTTGACCGTCAGAGAACATTTGAAAGATATTTTAATGGAAATATGGACTGTATGCGACAGCTTGGCAACAAGAAACTTCAGCTGCGGAAGAATGAATCGCCCTAAAATCAATATTTTTACTTGGAAGATGTCGATCAGTTCCGCCTGAGACAAGATAGGACGGAATACAAAAGGTGAAAAGTAGTATTTATTGAGAAAAAACAGTACACTTATGGAGGACGAAGGTCATGCGTATAGCTTTCCTATGTAAAAACAAAGTCTCTTCTCTCCTGACCCATAACTGCTTCTGCCGCAGTGACAGAACTGTAAAATATTTCCCGGAACACTTTTACTGACCAGGGTTAAATCTCTATCACGGATGAAAATGGCACACTGAGATAGACCCTAGCACAGGCCTCTATATGCCGTGATTTCATCGAAACTGAGGTTGCTTAAACGAAAAGAAACTTCGAACACAATATTCCTCTCCTTCACACTGTGCACGTCCTTGTTGCAACTAGCACCACTGTCCTAACGAACTTAGAATGGTATATGAGGGACCATCAATGTACCACATGACTGGCTCACGTTGGACCTCATTCATATGCTCGGTAGAGACTCAGTAAACTCTCATTCTAACCACGGAGAAATCCAACTACTTTCTGTTGCGTCCAGATTGCTGGTAAGTCCCATCAAGACTTGAATTTGATCAACCAGCCGAGAAGCCTAGATAAGCTTTTGCTCTGGTAGCAACCGCGTCGACCACAGTTTACATCTGCAAGCAACGGTCCGTTCATGGGCAGTTCACGACTCCAGTATTCACAAACAGGGTGGTTGCTTTCGACTTTGGGACCGAAGGTACAAATCTTTACAGAGCGCATTTAACGACTCTACAATGAAATTTCATACATGGATACTGGGTAGTGACTACCGATAAGTTTCCTACTTCGAGAGTGTTTTGAGGTCATGTTTTTGGGCTATAGATAAAGCAGGTTTCCGAACAAACAAGGCGCACAGGTTTTCCAATTTGATGTTTCTTACTAAGGACAGAGAACGCAGTGCATGCATAAGGACAATAATTCGAGAAACTTACCTCCTCGATTCTGTGTTCGAGCATCGTTGGCATCGATCAAACTTTCTCATCAAATCACCAAAGAGGTGATGAGTAAGAAACTATTTGACATCACCCAATAACCGATCAAGTGAAAATACGCATTCTTCGCCAACTAAACCACACTCTTCAGATGCTGAAAGAGTATATGCTACACCGACCACTGTTTGCAAAGCCCCAAATAAAATAGAAATGAAGGAGTAATGGTAAAACGATGACCTGGCCGTGGTCTATGAAGGATTTGGTCTAACCACTTGGCGAATGCCGTATGACCGGTTAAGGACAGAGTACTAAAGCCCAGCGACAGTTGGCGGCACTTGTTGCTCTGACGGTGTTTTGCAACCAAAGGCAATTCTGCATTGATAAGCTAGTTAACCTATTCTCAGGGGCCCACATTTCATCTTCATTCATTGCAATACCGGTCAGTATTCTCCTACATGCCCTCATTTAACTGTTCCGGGTATTCCTGCTACTCAAACGTAACCCTCAGAAGACGCATAATCATCATAGGCGAGGTGAATCGCTAAAAATAATGCTCGTTAATTGGTAAGGATAGCGACGATGATGATGGTGAGGAGGTTAGTGATTGCTGAGATGCATCGAATTATCTGTGCGGGCACTTCACTTTCTTAAGCCTCTGTGAGGAATAAAATGAATGTGTAGTAACCAAATTGTAGTTGAGTTAGTGGGGTTTAAAGTGACTTCATAAAACATGATGTGAGAAGAAGTAATCCATTGAAGAAACTGATGTCTGTATAAGGTGTGAACAAGTCTGGATGGCCTTGAAGAAATTAACCCACAGGATTTCATCCTTGGGTTTCAGTACCAAATTTGTGCTGGCGACTTGAACAAAATTAAGCCGTGGAGCAACCACAAAATGTCCCACAATTACCAGTAATTCGCGTGCCCGGCCTCCGTACGCTTGCCAATCACGACTTAGGGGCAACCCGTCTTGCATATCCAAACAGTTCTCAAAAGGGAAATTGGTTGACTTTCATCCAAATAAAGCCAAAGTACTGAGGAACACATTAGAACAAAATTTACTTGAACGTCGAATATACGCTTTGTTCAATCTCAGAAGGAATATGTTTCTCAAAAACAACCAATAACGGATTGAGAGTATAACATCAAGATCAAACTATTTTGACATAAATATTACGCAACATTTATAAGTTATAAGTCAGCCAGTTATGCATGCATAAAATAAAGCAATACGGAATCAAACTCGATTGAAGGACGAAATCTGCCCTCTAGTTTACCAGTACCAGAGTTGCCGTCGCCGTGTCCACTCCAAGCTCATTGTCAGCCACACAGCGATAATCTCCTTCCTGATCCAGCTTGAAGTCTGTGATTTGCAAAAAGGATATGACTTGATTCTCGAATTTAGCGCCACGAGTCGTTACAGTCACGTCTTCGAAATCGCCTGGGATAGAAGATGAAGAAGAGCTGATTAGATAAGGAAAGATTTCGTAACAAAGAGCATGGTTTATTTCTTCAGAAGTGTTTTAAAATGAGCCAGAGTGCACACCACCTGCTGATCATCGCTGGCAGTTGTGTTGTGGCCTCCGTTTTCTTATGGGTATCAAGGCAGTGGAGGCAAATTTCAGCACCTGTACGTAAGTTTACAGCACGTGACCGGTTCAGCTCTTAATAAGCCTCATCAGATAGGCACGTTTCCCGGGTTTCCGTTAACCTTATGTTCTTTTTGGTCCCCATCGGGGCGAAATACGCCAGATATTCCCATTTGCAAAGTAATTTGGTTTTCAGCAGGAGACTCAATTAAATCCAGCTGAATCTATCGTTTCTGTCTATCTTCTTCAATCGAAACATGAGGTGGCCTTGTGTAACACATCCAGTTGAAGAAAACCAACAAAACGGGAGGTTTGATTGAATCCAGTTGTATTTACTTTTAAAACTAAATTAGTGTGACAATGAGGGTATTCGGAGGAAGTGTAAGCATATTTCTCAGAGTTGCCCAGAATTTATGCTGAGAGATTTGAGTTTTTGACCGCTCTCATCAGGATTAGGGCAACTTGGAACTGGGACTCCCTCCGGAATTCAAGAGGCATCGCGCAAGTAAAAAGCGTCAAAACCAAGCTAAATAAGTGGTTCGTTTCCCATTACAAAAATAAATTCTACTGGAAATTGAAGAGGCCTAATCATTCGATTTACATGACATTAAGTACAATGTTCGAAATAGCTGTAAAGATACTGGCCTTCCCGCAACGACGAAGCTTGTTTCACTACCAGAAACCTGTTTTCAGTATAAAGTGATCATGAGGCGCTTACCCATTCTGACGCAGATATAGTCTTTAGCGTCGGAAAACCGATTGTTTGATGAATAGTGATGAGCAGCTTAGGAGTGGGGCACACGAATCCTTGAGTCATAAACCAAGCGTATGAGTTCCCCCAACGAACGTAAGCTCAAATGAAGCGGGATTTCAACCAAGCCTAAAGAATGTCCAGTGTAAAACTAGGCAAAGGTAGATAGCTTGATGAAAGGAAAAATCCCCTCCAATGCGGACTTGTTTGTTGCCCAAGACTAAGTGATTATAAACTAGTAGACACAAAAATACAAATCCCATTTGTGCAGAGTTTTTGGAACGTGAATATTATCGAGCGTCCTCTTGAACCTTCCTGGAAGTTCTTCGAATATTGAACAGGCACTGCGAAACGGTTTCGTCATTTCCGTAATAATGTTTTGTCACATGTGGGGACGGAGCTTTGACACATAACCAGACACTACTAGCATGTTTCATCAGCAGTATATACCGTTGCAATCGCACTGAGGACAAGATAAAATGGTCGCTTGGTGACCAAGCACCAAAACATATTTCAGAATACATTGGGAATCTGTTCATAAACTTGTTGAACAACACACCCACCCCAGTTATTTCACGCTTAAAGGTGATGGAGATTATCGGTAGGACGTATTATTACAAGATATTAAGGCTTATTTTATATCTGAGACATGGAATTTAGTTAAATTGCGACAGAAGCGTCACTCATAACTACAACGCTTTGCTATGCTGGTCCTGTATGAGGATGCTTTTTTGATATTTTCGTAATTCATGTGGTAAAACCCACAACTGTTACGATAATCTGAGTTGGAGTTACTACCATCCACCTGAAACTGAATTTCGGGTGACGTGATACTGCCCACCTACTTGGTTAGTACACTAATGTCGTACCAACAAAGATATAAATTTTGAAACGTGATAATTGGGTATGTTGGTTACTAGCCTGTTCTTACAGGATTATTTGAAACCGAGTGGCAGGTAGACTGAAAAGTATCGATAGCTGGTATTTATACCACCATCTGTCCAAACACATACGATCGTTCTTCGTACAAAATGTTTTAATGTTTTGATTGGTACTGAACCTAGAGCCTGTTGATCTGGATTGTTCTCAGACTAACCCTGTCCTGGCTCCATCATTCTGGTGAGTCCACACCAAAGGGCGGAAGCACCGGACTCGAACTTCGCCCTCACTACAGCTCATCAGCAGTGCATATCCTTCGCCACTTCGGGGTTGGAACTCCGCACATCTGGCATGCGAGGCGAGCGTGTTACCACTGCTCCACCCCGGCACGGTGATGGTAAGCCTTAATAAGAGCAAAACTCGAATCCAGTGCTTTGACCTTCGGTGTGGACTCACCAGAATAACTGTGCCAGGACAGGAGGACGACCGTCCAAACGAGAGTGATGTAAGCGTGAATTCGCCAAATCCCGTACCAGTCTACAACTAATTGACTAGGAATAAATCAGCAGGAGACTGAATTAAATCCAGCTGAATCTATCGTTTCTGTCTATCTTCTTCAATCGAAACATGAGGTGGCCTTGTGTAACACATCCAGTTGAAGAAAACCAACAAAACGGGAGGTTTGATTGAATCCAGTTGTATTTACTTTTAAAACTAAATTAGTGTGACAATGAGGGTATTCGGAGGAAGTGTAAGCATATTTTCACTAGGCATCTTAGTATACATCTCAGAGTTGCCCAGAATTTATGCTGAGAGATTTGAGTTTTTGACCGCTCTCATCAGGATTAGGGCAACTTGGAACTGGGACTCCCTCCGGAATTCAAGAGGCATCGCGCAAGTAAAAAGCGTCAAAACCAAGCTAAATAAGTGGTTCGTTTCCCATTACAAAAATAAATTCTACTGGAAATTGAAGAGGCCTAATCATTCGATTTACATGACATTAAGTACAATGTTCGAAATAGCTGTAAAGATACTGGCCTTCCCGCAACGACGAAGCTTGTTTCACTACCAGAAACCTGTTTTCAGTATAAAGTGATCATGAGGCGCTTACCCATTCTGACGCAGATATAGTCTTTAGCGTCGGAAAACCGATTGTTTGATGAATAGTGATGAGCAGCTTAGGAGTGGGGCACACGAATCCTTGAGTCATAAACCAAGCGTATGAGTTCCCCCAACGAACGTAAGCTCAAATGAAGCGGGATTTCAACCAAGCCTAAAGAGTGTCCAGTGTAAAACTAGGCAAAGGTAGATAGCTTGATGAAAGGAAAAATCCCCTCCAATGCGGACTTGTTTGTTGCCCAAGACTAAGTGATTATAAACTAGTAGACACAAAAATACAAATCCCATTTGTGCAGAGTTTTTGGAACGTGAATATTATCGAGCGTCCTCTTGAACCTTCCTGGAAGTTCTTCGAATATTGAACAGGCACTGCGAAACGGTTTCGTCATTTCCGTAATAATGTTTTGTCACATGTGGGGACGGAGCTTTGACACATAACCAGACACTACTAGCATGTTTCATCAGCAGTATATACCGTTGCAATCGCACTGAGGACAAGATAAAATGGTCGCTTGGTGACCAAGCACCAAAACATATTTCAGAATACATTGGGAATCTGTTCATAAACTTGTTGAACAACACACCCACCCCAGTTATTTCACGCTTAAAGGTGATGGAGATTATCGGTAGGACGTATTATTACAAGATATTAAGGCTTATTTTATATCTGAGACATGGAATTTAGTTAAATTGCGACAGAAGCGTCACTCATAACTACAACGCTTTGCTATGCTGGTCCTGTATGAGGATGCTTTTTTGATATTTTCGTAATTCATGTGGTAAAACCCACAACTGTTACGATAATCTGAGTTGGAGTTACTACCATCCACCTGAAACTGAATTTCGGGTGACGTGATACTGCCCACCTACTTGGTTAGTACACTAATGTCGTACCAACAAAGATATAAATTTTGAAACGTGATAATTGGGTATGTTGGTTACTAGCCTGTTCTTACAGGATTATTTGAAACCGAGTGGCAGGTAGACTGAAAAGTATCGATAGCTGGTATTTATACCACCATCTGTCCAAACACATACGATCGTTCTTCGTACAAAATGTTTTAATGTTTTGATTGGTACTGAACCTAGAGCCTGTTGATCTGGATTGTTCTCAGACTAACCCTGTCCTGGCTCCATCATTCTGGTGAGTCCACACCAAAGGGCGGAAGCACCGGACTCGAACTTCGCCCTCACTACAGCTCATCAGCAGTGCATATCCTTCGCCACTTCGGGGTTGGAACTCCGCACATTTGGCATGCGAGGCGAGCGTGTTACCACTGCCCCACCCCGGCACGGTGATGGTAAGCCTTAATAAGAGCAAAACTCGAATCCAGTGCTTTGACCTTCGGTGTGGACTCACCAGAATAACTGTGCCAGGACAGGAGGACGACCCTCCAAACGAGAGTGATGTAAGCGTGAATTCGCCAAATCCCGTACCAGTCTACAACTAATTGACTAGGAATAAACCATGTTCTATCCACAGCTGCTAAGGCGAAACCAAAAGAGGCTGACAGTACAAATCTACAAAGAGCTACCCGTTGGAACAAAGTGAATCAATCCATACATATTGGTCTGATAAAGCTAACTAACTTGACAAGGCTATCAAAGATGTTTGTCCCACTTCAGGGATCCAATCAGCAT